CATCCAATCTAATCTAACGATCCCATGGCCTTCCCCAGCACCCGACCCATTTAAACCTTAGACCGACCTAGTCTTATTTAATTGAGACGACACCGTTTCCTATTACAAAATAGATCCTAGCCATAGATCTAACTTGATCCAATGGCCAGGATCTAATCTCCTACCCCATATATAAATCCCTCCTCACACCCCACGCCCCCAANTCTTCGCTTGAAACCCGACAACATCTACACCTCCGGTCACCCCTTTAACACCATAGCACCTCCTTCACTCCCTGAACCCAAATCCCTTACTCCCTTGGCTCGAATCTAGCAGCATCTGCTCGAATCTTCAATCGAAGATTCGAGCCAAGACTCAACCCATTCCAAACCATCCCAAACTGATACCTAACACTCCCCTGACCCCCCTTAGGCCTAAACCAACGAAGGTTGGGTTCGAATCTAACCAGAAACCCTCGAATCCCAAAAACACCCCTGTGAACCCTAGAAATCCAAAAGTTGGGGGTTTGTCCAAATTAGCGGGAGATTGAGGTCTAATAGACCTTAATCTAGGTGTTCTCAACTGAGAACACCCTGATTAAGGTCCATTCGACCTAAAATGGTCGAGTCCACTTGAGCTCTGGGTCCTTTATTCATGAGCTTTCAAAGATAAGTCTTTCTTTTCCTTCTATTCATATTTTGTGTATTATTTGTTGTTTGTTTGTATGTTAGTTTAATTGATGTGATTTTATTATATTTTTCTTTCAGTTCTGTTCATCTTCCACAGATCTTTTATTTGGTCGATTTTTCTGTTTGACTGTTAAACATATATGTATGATGAACTATGTGTTCAACTGGACTAAAACTCATTAAGTGTTTTAGATAGGTTCCCTGCTAAGTGTCCAAAAAGTTGGAGTCATTTGGTGACCTGTTTAGTATATGTTGTTTGTTGATTAGTTGTTACATATAATAGTTCATATAGTCGATTAAATAAGTATCGTCAATTAAAATCGATTAAAAAATTAGAGAAGCATGATTTTGTTCGTTTCAGTGTAATTACCAGCATGTTTTTCTTCTCTGTGTTTAAGCTTGTATTGAAAGAAGCTTGCTTCATTGTTTTCTCCCTGTTGATCATCTGATATGAGCTGATCAGGATTGGTTTCCAATTTGATCAACTCATGTCATTTGATTGACACCCCTTGTGATCTGATTTTGAGTTGAGCTTAGGATATGAATTGGGATATAACTGTAAACAATTAGGAGATAGTTAGAAATCAGTTTTGGGTTTGAACTTTTTAATTCCAGACTAGTAAACTTAGGGCAATACAGTAATATCAGGGGTAGTTTAAGGGGTAGTTTGGGAATTAGGATACCTACTAATTAAACTAGGGCTGCTATTAGACTAAGTGAAAACACCTCTTAATGGGAATGACACTTGTTGCTGATTTTAAGGGGCTGAAAGGTGCACTAATTGTTAAAATAATCAGCACTAGTATAATGGGTTAATTAAGAAATGAAAAGTAGAATATTAAGTGGAGGATGCACTAACTGAAATGCTTATTTAAGAAGTTGTGAATCTGACATAAAGGAGGGGGGAATTTTTTTTTGGTTAGAAATTGAGAGTTTAAGTAAAGATATAAGCTGAAATTTTCAGAAGGAAATTGGAGAGAGCAGATTTTCAGAAATAAAACAAAAACAGAAATAGGGCTTTTTGAACCTTAAAAATTCCAGAGTTCGAGAGTTTAAACTGAGGAGATCTACTTTCTTTCACTATTGAAAGTCAGAATCAGTTTGTTACTGTTTAAATTGAGGGTCTAGTGTCTTTATTTGGGAGTCGAAAGAACAGAAATCAGAAAATCTACTGTCATATCTCATTTCTGAATACATTCTATTTTTTCTTGTGATACTGTCGGTATTTTGGTATCATTCCTGGGTTTCTGGTATATATGTTTGGTTTTTCTGAAAATCACAAATTGGTTTTCCAGTACTACTGGGATTTCTGATTACTGGTTTAGCGATTATTGCTGTGGCTGTTGCGTTGTTGTTTGTTGCACACTTCCTGCTGATCTTCCTCTTCTTCTCTTTGCTTTCCAAATACCAGGTACATAAATTTGATACACTGGTTCTTGTAGGCTGAAACTTGAAGCATGAATACAAAGAAAAGAGGAGTTGAAGTTTTAAAATTCAATATAGTTGTCTATTTGTTTGTATGTACATTAGAATACCTTTCTTTCATTAGAGTCATGTAGGTGTTCGTTTATGTATAACTAGACATGCCTATTCTATGATTAATTTAAGTTTTAAAATTCCCCCCCTCCCTTTTGTATGTTTTTAGTTAATAAAGACTAATGATGTAGTAGTAATGTTTTGTCATTTCAGTCTATTTTGTTTAAAAGCATGTTCCAAACACACATCAGGCCATAGGTTGATTATTCAATAGTTTAAATTATTTCAGTTAACAAATTGCTTATCTAATTTCGTAAGAACAAGTTCAATTGGTTAATTTCAGCATCTAAGTGGTCTAGGATAAAAAATCAGATTTTTCAGGTTCAGTCATTCCAGTAGAATATCACTTTAAATTGGTAGAAATTTGTTAACAAAAATGACACCATTTTTAGTTTGGCAAATTATGAATATGTATAGAAACCAGTAACTAAGTCCAATTTGAAGTAGTATGGCCCAGGTCCGGTTTTACTCCTTATATGTCGGACCTGGGCCCATAACGGTCAAATAGATTGCTCTTACTACGTTCATTTTAGATTTAACGAATCATGTTCGAAACTCAACTATAGTAACTCGTAAGTATGTAAATAAAGTAGGACCTTTTTCTTCATTTACTATAGAGACAAACGAAATAGAAAACATAGTCATTATAGGACGACCTTTAAAATAAAAATGAGATGAGCCTCGCCAATAAAACACACAAGTTACGGGGCCCTTGATAAATGTTTAATTGAATGCTTAGATTTCGGGATGGGCCGTTTAGCAAAATTTCGTGGATTCAACCGGTGACTTGGGACACCATAAATCTCCCAAGTGGCGACTCTGAATTAAATAAACAAATCCCGTTTCGATTTTCCTTTAATTGGAAAATCTCCCTTATACCCTTACGGGGTAGGAAAAAGGAGGTGTGACACTAGACACCAACGTATAGATACTCATCACCATGCCTATACGTCGTACTCGACAAATAGCAAGCAACAATTAAGACTCAACTCATATTCCCTCAAGCTAAGGTTAGACCAAACACTTACCTCGCTTTGCTACCAATTCAAAATTTCAACAAGCCTTCGCCTCGTGAATTCGTCTGAAGCTTCAAATCTAGTCATAAACAATTCGATTCAGTCAATAAAAATTATAGGAATTAATTCCATATGAAATTCTACATTTTCCATTAAAAATCCAAAATTGCACTAAAAATTAGCCCGTGGGGCCCACATCTCGGAACCCGACAAAAATTATGGAATATGAAACCACATCCACCAACAAGTCCAACCATACCAATTTTATCAAAATCCGACATCAACTCGACCCTCAAATCTTCAAATTAAACTAAGAGGGTTTTCAAGATTTTTCCAACTAAAATCACCAATTAAATGCCAAAACTAGTAATAGATTCGGGTAATCTAACAAAAATTAAGTTAAGAAAACTTACCCCATTATTTTTTTCTGAAAAATCTCCCGAAAATTGCCTCTCCCCGAGCTCCAAATTGGTAAAAATGGAAAATGGGTTTGTCCCATTTTCAAAACTTAACATTCTGTCCAGAATTTCCGAGGTTACTGTTCACGCGTTTTTTACTGTTCATGGGAATTGTTCACGGTACTGTTCACGGGTATTGTATACGGGATACTGTTCATATATACTGTACACGGGTACTGTACACGGAGTACTATTCATGGATACTGTTCACGGGATACTATTCATGGGTACTGTTTCTGCAATTTTCCTACGTCCGAAATCACTCTGAGACACCTCCGAAGCACTCCCGAGCCCTTGGGGCTCCTAACCAAACACATACACTAACTCAACAACATCCTACGAACTTAACCATGCGATCAAATCGCCAAAATAACGTCATATACCACGAATTAAGCTTTAAAATCTAAGAATTCTTTCAAATTTCATAAAACATCAAATTTTCCATTATGAGTCCGAAACATGTCAAATGACGTCCGTTTTCAACCAAACTTTACAGAAAGTGCTTAAAACATATATAAGACCTGTACCGGGCGTCGGAACCAAAATACGGGCCCGATACCATCACTTTCTAATCAAATTTCATTTCCATTTTCCTTAAATATTTTCAGAAAACAATTTTACTCAAAAATTCATTTCTCGGGCCTGGAACCTCGGAATTTGATTCCGAGCATACGCCCAAGTCCCATATTTTCCTACGGACCTCCCGGGACCGTCAAATTACGGGTCCGGGTCTGTTTATCCAAAATGTTGAACGAAGTCAAATTTATTCATTTTAATATCAAACCTTAGCAAATTTTCACAGAATTTCATATTTGAGCTTCCGGCTACGTGCCCGGACTGTGCACGCAAATTGAGGCAACTGTAAATGAGGTTTTCAAGGGCTCGGAAGCTCGGAATGGATAAGAAAATAGGTGATGACCCTTTGGGTCGTCACAATTAAGCAACGGTCCGAACATACTCAAATCATGAAAATGACTCAAATGAAAAAGTTGTACCTCAAGCTCACCAGTACCACCACAACGCAGGGCTGAGAACCCGTCTCATATCATAGAATAGGACACACGAATCTAACCCGCAAGGTCATATCTCCACATAGCTTCGCTACAATGCGCGATCCTATCCAAACACTGCTCCACATGGGACACCTCAAGTCACTATGCTCGAAATTGACAACCACGCATAATTTGACGTCTGGAACCAAAGAAAATCATTACACCAACGGTGAACCAAGTAACATTTACCACGCAAACCCGATAGGACGTAACTGATACACCATTCACCGAGCAACACCCGATTACTCTTCCCACTTGACTTCCACTATGAACCCCATTAGAACCGTACCATATGTGCCCATAACCAATAAATCATAATCTCTCGCAACACAGAAAGGCAACTCATAGATCTCCCCAGATCACTAATAAGCTCAATAACGGTCGAATCAACCTATCCCTCAACAATACAATTCGGGGCCAACCAAGCCGACTCGAGCTAGAACACGCATCCACATTGGCCTGCCAATGAACTCCTTACTAAGGAAGCCTAAAGCTGCTCCTTCAACTACCATAACTCCTGCTGGAGCCATACGATACGGTCAGTGCCCGGCATCACATAAATACCGAAATCCACAACCTCGCCCGACGACATGCCCGGCCACAAGAAACGCTTTCGAAAAGTCCCTCAACACCGGAACTGAATCAATGGTAGAAACCTATGCACTGACATCCATAACGAAGGCCCAATTAAGAAAAGCAATCCTTCCCAGCCGTCTGCTGGGTCTATGAAATATAAACCACTCCACTAGAACATAACCCGACGCACATCGTCACTCAACCTTTGGTATTTCCAACCTAGCCCATAATGCAATAGTCCAGAATAACCCAACACTGAGATGATCAGTCTAAATCCCCAACATCATATCCAAAATCTAACATACCAAGCAAAGAAAGATCCACTCGGGCCTCCAAATCTCGGAAGTCACTAAACAGTGCTGATACACACGATCTACAATCACAACATAGCTTGAATATAAGAACTTCTGTCTCCACGTCCATACGACACATGAATCACCATATCCTATCCCAATTTCGTCGTCCAAATATATGCCACACCTCTAATACCCAATCATTCCACTATAGATACTCTAAAATTTCCCTGTGCCACCAAGCAAACCCGAATATCACCAGTCGATCTAAAAAGAAGGTGCCGCAATACTATCGAAGTGCTATCAACTTAATAATATTGCCCTTTTACTAAAACATAGACTCTCATCAAATCATTTCCAATTAGCAGTATCATTTCCTTAATCATCTAAGGCTACCCGCTGCCTAAGAGTTTTATGAACTTCCTTTCAGAACTAAACTGTAACTCATCTAGCCAAGAACTTCCATTGATACCATCTAGAAGAAAAATCATTACATATCCTATGCTTCTCACACTCGGGGAAATTGCACCTCTCCAACCACAGTAGAAATCAATAAGAACTCTCCCAATTCCATTTGCACAAATTCAACTGCTAGGACGGAATCCTTCTAACTAGACCAAGCTAAGCAAGCCATCAAAACCCAAGAACATTGTTGCAAAATAGATATAGGAACTCATTACCTCGAACACACACAAGGAATTAATCATATCCTTACCATACCGATTTGGTCTACTATCAAGATACCCCATCTATCTAAATTCCTTCTGATTCATCTTCAACTTGATATTCCTTCTTGCTGTAGCACCACAATTTCCTCAACCTAGGCTTATCACACGAAACCCAAGCATAAAGCTACACCGTCTAAGGCTCCTAAGCCGCTGAATACTCTTTAAGTGTTCCCCAAAGCCATTACCTTCACCTTCCCGATACTGATATATAGAATCCCATAATTAATATAGAAAATACCACAAGTCTTGCCATCTTCCACTGAAAACTCAGTTTCTATCCATAAGTACAACTTAGAAGCCTCCAATTATTGCATGTAGAGTTTTGAACACAATAGGACCATTCTCTAGAGTCATCCACACTACTCAAACCATAGTTAGATTGATTAAACGAACCGAACAAACTATGCTTCATTTACACTCCGACACTGCAGAATGTGACCTCATTCCAATATAACCAAGCAACTTCCTGCTCTATGCACTGAGCATTCGTTACTAACCACAACTCAAGTCATTCCCCGATTCTCATACACCCATAAAGCATAACATAGCATTTATTGAAATTTCCTTTACTCGAGCCACAACTGATTTACAAATACGCCTCGAACTGGAACAATTAGAGCACATAACCCTGCAATCAACTATTCAATAGCGGACTCCCCCACTTGGCTCGAAGCCATAGA